TGGCGGTGGTGGTGGTTTGTACGTAGAGTCACCAACTCAGAGCTGATGCTCACGCTGGTTTTTAGAGACAGTCAGTTATGCAGGTGGAGATTGCCTGTGATTCTCGTGTGGAGCATCTGGTGGATTTGAACCACGTGCCTCTGGGATTGCAGCGTGGCTTCTTACACCCAGGCCACCAGGGCTCCGTGAACGTCAGGACTGTCGGGTAGTTTCCAACAGATGAGGCCACACCATGCGTTGGCATCAGCTCAGCAGCAATAGGCTGGTTTCTCCTGTGCTGTTGGAGCCTCTGCTAAGAACCCGTGTTGACAGCCATGAGTCGTGTTCCGTCCTGAGTGTCTGCAGTTGGAAGGCACAGCCCTTGCTTGGGCCCGCTCTACCCCAGCATCACTGTCTGGCCCTCCTGCACACCCCTCTTGGGGGTTCTTCCCCCCTTTTTACCATTTATTGATTCTCTCCTTTTTCTTTCTTTTTTTTATTTTAATAATTTTAATGAACATTTACAGATATTTCAGATTTCCATTCATTCGTTGTTGCACTTTTCTCCCTGTCCAGCCCTCCCCCGTCCCCTCCCCCTCAGTTCGCGCCTCTCTTTGAAAAGTAAAAGAAAAATTCTTTCTTTGATATATGCCCCACACCCCTCCCACTGCCCCAAGTACACTCCACTATGCAGCCTTAATTGTGGACTCTGGGGGTTCTTTTATGGATGCCAGCCCATTTGGGGAGACTTAAGTTGGCCCTTGGCGCACGTGTTCTGTCCAAAGCATGATGCCCTAAATATGTTAATACATAAAAACCTAGTTACTAGGGAGCTAGCTGTGTGTGTTCTTTCCCCTGGCCCCTAGCTAGCTGTGTGTGTTCTTTCCCCTGGCCCCTATTACTAGTGGTCAGTCAAGCCCTGGTCCCAGCCTCCTGTCCCTGGAGAGAGTCTGGGGGCCAAGGACCCTTTGGTAGACTTCCCCATCATGTTGTCTTCTGACGAGTAAACGGAAAAATGGATTTTGAACCATGTGAATGTTTATTGTATGGAATATATAATTGACTTCAGATTTCTTTCTTAGCATTTTAATTCAATATTTGCTATTGATTTTCCCCTAGTCTTAACAGCACAGTATTATTACCAGGGTTGATACTTCTTATTACGCACACAGTTAATATAAGACAGTAGGGGAGAGAGCCTGATAATATAAATGGCAAATATAAATCTAGAAGGTTCAAAAGGAGAATTGATGTTGTTACATAATGTTTTCCATAACAGGCTTTTTAGACCTTTAACTCGCTTAAGAATGATGTTTAATGCAAGTTCTTAAGACATTAGGTCCTTAGGGTTGGGTAAGAGAGTGTGCATTTCCGCTAAGCCCTCAGAGAGATTGCTGATGTTGGGGGTTTCCTCAAGGTGCACTCTGCCTGGGGAGATTTCAGAGACAGTTAAGGTGCCGGCCTAACCTACAGGAACCCCAGAAATCCCAGGTAGAGAACAGGACGAGGTGAGCGCAGCCGCTGCCCACGTGCAGCACGTGTCTTCTATCCAGTCTGTCCCTCCATGTTCAGGGGTGATGTTTCCCCAGAATCAACCAGCTGAGCATCAGAAATATTTGGGGTGCAGAATTAAGGGATCAGAGCAACCCACCGAAGGTTCAGAGGAAACATAAGTGCCGTTTACATGGCATTTATGTTGTATTAGTTATTACAAGTCATCTAGACATGGGAAGGGTGGAGGGTCGGCGGAGGAGAGGATGACCCTCACCCAGGTGCATTGAGACGGTGACTGCTGCCGTGGGCTCTTGTGTGTCAGGAAGTGTGAGGATGGCGCAGGACAGGACAGGGCTCAGATCTTTTCTTCACGGGGTCGTTGTGAGTCACACTCGACTTGACAGCAACTAGCAGCCACAGCAGACATGGAAGGATGTGCACGGGTTAGATGCAGACATGCCGTTCATAGAAGGAACCAGGACACGCCCGAGGAGGACTGCGTAGAGCAGGTGTGGTAGCTAGCCTGCACTCACGGCCTAGAACACACACATCTTGATGCTTACAAACGTCTGAGGTTTATGCGGCCCCATCCAGTGAGGAGTCGGGCACGTCACACTTGACAGACAGGAGGACTCCACACCCTGAAAGGCATAAGCGAGGGGGCCCTCTGTCAGGTACGGAGAGACCCCTAATGACCGGACCCAGAAGGGAATCCCTGTCACCACCGTAATGCTCTCTGCTGAGGCCCAGTGCTTGTTCAAAGACACTTGGTGACATCAGATAAGGTGGTGTTCACACAGCGGCCACCCACGTCCTCATGGACCTTGACTCAGTGATAAGGAGTTGTGCTGCCAACACAGAGGTCTGCGGTTCCAGTCCAGCGCCTGACATGTGGGAGAAGGACGGGGAGTCTCCTCCCGTGTGATTTACAGCCTCTGAAAACCTCCGGAGGTCAGCTCTGGGTCAGTTCTGACTCGTCGGCAGCGAGACAAGGAGATTGTGAATATTAAGCAGCACATGGCTGGACATGCAAACCCAGCTTAATGTTGTTTGTGTATTTTTAATGTTTTCTATCAGGCCCAGAACAGTAAAGCAGAGAGGGTGAGTCTTTGATCTGACACTGAGCATTCAAGCAGACGTTCTAGCCTTGACCAAGTGACTGCCTTCCTCTAAGGCAGGTTGCGGGTTTGGGTGTCCTTTTGCTTCATAAATCTGTTGTAGGGGGGCTGCCTTGGGCTTGATTTCCACTCGTTAGTTCTCTTTTCACCTCCAAGTTTTGACAACCAGAAATGTCTTAGCACTGCCAGCTCTAAGGACACTTCCTGCTGAGAACGCAGGGTTAGAGGGAGGGATTGTGAGATGAGGGTGAATTTCATATAAACAGGTGGTTTGCTTGGTCTTCTCGACCTGTTTTCAGAGAACACGCCTAATAGCTCTTGTCATCAGTGTCAACATGTAGAGTTTTTACATTTTTTCTTTGTTTTCTCTCCCTCCTTCCTTCTAAATCTTCTCTTTTAAATGAACTTGAACCTGATTTTTAACTGGTTGGCAGAGAACAACTTGACTATACGGAATTTGTCTTCAATTTTTAACCTTCACAGAAAGTACTGCCTAGTACATGGCCATTCAGTAAATATGTGATGGAATGCATCAGATTCATATTATATAATTATTTGAAGTAAATGTTTGCCTGCGCTGTAGAAACTATTCCACGTATTGACAGACATTCTTTAAAGACTTTTGTTGTTGTTGTTGTTCTTTAATTGACACATGTCATTATTCTGGAAGTATCTGCTCCTAATTCAGGTTTTAGAAACTCAGAGGTGAAAATTTGTAAGCTCTCCGCTCAGTACCGTTACTGTGTACACAGCCCAACAGTGTCACATTGATTTTGTTTGTTAAGTAGACCACACCATTCCAGACACGTTTTCACCCTCTTATCCCAGAATTGCCACACTCAGTACTTTGTATGTGCGTATTCAGCTTTTCATAGCTTTTAGAGTTGAAGGTTTATTATCAAAAACATTTCTTACTCATTTCCTTCAATAAAAGCACACCCTAGAAACAAACACATCTAGTAGAGTGATTGCTTTTGTAAGTGTTTTTGCCAGATGATGGTGTAAGCAAGTAGAAATAACAGTGAATTAACAGGTGAAGAAGAATTGCATTCCAGCTGGTGGTAGTGTTTGGAGAACCTTGGTAATACTTCAGTAGATACTGACATGGGCATTGCGTAAGCTTGTTTAGTGCTTGTGAGCCCCCTCATCTTTTTTTAATATCTTTTTTATTATTATTCAGTTCAATGAACACTTACAGAGATTTTGGATTTCCATTCATTCATTGTTGCACTTTTCTCCCCGCCCACCCCTCCCCCAACCCCAGTCCACTCTTGTCCTTGAAAAGCAAAAGAAAAACTCCTTCATTGGTACACAATCCCCCCCACCCCGAGTGTACTCCACTCTGCAACCCTCATTCTGAACTCTTACGATAATCATAATGCCCTAAAATATATTACTTTTAAACTGTTCTCTCTCTCATCGGCTTCAATGCAGTATACATAATTTATCCCATTTTTCTCAGTCTTACCCCCAACCCTGATATCAGCCTCATTCTACAACAGTGGCACCATGCAGTATTTGACCTTTTGTGACTGAGCTACTTCACTCAGCATAATGTCCTCCAGGATCACCCAAAAAATATGGAACGCTTCACGAATTTGCGTGTCATCCTTGCGCAGGGGCCATGCTGATCTTCCCTGTATCGTTCCAATTTTAGTATGTGTGCTGCCGAAGCGAGCACAGTCCCCTATCTTATTCAGCATAGTCTATAATATATAAAAAGTTCTGTTACCACCTTCTCTCGAGGGTAAGATTATGGGGATGAAAATAAGGAAAGCCAGAAATGATGTTCGGGGCAATTTCTTTATATGCACTTGACATTTTCCAATGATGCGGAGAGACTGGAGACTTTAGTATTTCTTGCTGTGAAGGACTAGAGAGGTGTTACTGTTCTTTTCTCATCCAGTTTACTTGACTACGGGCTGCTCAAATCGTTGCAGCCTCCCATTCATTCGACTCTGTCCAAAAGTCATTTTTTATGAAGAAAATTCACACATTAAATTAAAAAGAAGTGAAGCAGTCTCCCTCACACACATGCCTACCACTTCTTAAAAATGAAAAGTTTCTGGTGCCAGTTAACAGTTAGTTGGGTTCTCTCTGCTGTTTCCCACCCCGGTTACCCGGTGACTTCAGTTCCATCGATCCCAGTGTCCATCCCGGCGTCCACGTGCTCTGTGCTCTCTTGGTTCCTTTCCTGGTACTCGAGTTTCCCTGCCCACTCACTGTCTTTCCGTGTCACCCAGATGGTTTTTAAGCGAGGCGTCAGACGTCTGGCCAGTGCCCGTTGTTTGTGATAGAGGCTGGCCTTGGTACAGTAGTCTCAGGGGGCCTGTGGCCTCTGTTTTTCCAGTTTGTCTGGCTGGTTTGGTATGATGTCACCACGGCTTACCTGTTGTTGTTCCTCCACAGCGCTGGTCCCAAAGGTGATAACATCTACGAATGGAGATCAACCATCCTGGGGCCGCCAGGGTCTGTCTATGAGGGGGGAGTGTTCTTCCTCGATATCACCTTTACACCAGAGTATCCCTTCAAGCCTCCAAAGGTAAGAGCTTCCTTTGACTTGTACTGAATGGTACTAGCTCCCGTGAGAGAGAGACTTGAGATTTTAATCACAAGTACTCACAGATCTATGCTAGGCTCTAGTGAATCTAATAACATTTGAACATACACAGACCGCTCATTTGGGGTTAACTCCGCTGTATTCCAGAGACCATTTCTAAACACTTTGGGTTTTGGTTTTTGATGTTTGTTTTGTTTTTTACTTTGTTATATGCCATCAAATTGGATCCAACTGGCACCGGAGGAGATTGCCCATCTTTTTCTCCAGCGGAGTATCTGGTGGATTTGAACTGCACGCCTTTACGATTGTAGCACAGCTTCTTGCCATTAGGCCACCGGAGTTCCCTGGCACTTTGGGTTTTTAATGTTCCTTAAAATGGCGACACTTATAGTAATATGATCAGCAACCCAAAATTGATCCTCTGTTTGCAGCCCTGTAGGAAAAAAATTTTTATGGAGAGCTGCAAGTGGTGTCAGAGTATCTGTGCCCTAAAGCAGTTACTCAGACTTCCTGCCTTTGAGTGGGAAACCCATTCATAGCTAACCCTCCACTGGGTTTCTGGTGGGTGAAGAGCTGTACTGTGAGCCTTAAGGCAGCCGGTTCGAATCCACCAGCTCTCTGCTCGAGAAAGGTGGACAGTCTCTTTCTGTGGGAGTTACAGCCTCTGAAAACCTGCTGGAGGGTCAGCTTTGAGTCGATTGTGACTCAGGACCATGGAGTTGAACAGAAATCCCCCTGGGAGGAGATGGCCTCTCGTCCTCCTGAGGGGCCCGCAGGTCACTAGTTGGCAGCTCAGTTCCCGAGGCCCTGCACCCCCGGGGCTCCCGACAGCAGGAGGACCGTGCGCATCTCCGGCCTCGGGTTTGTGACCCTTGGTGGGATTCTCATCTCCAGTGCTTGCTTTCCTCCTCTGGACTAGGTGGGCATTGCCCGGACCCTCTTCCCCTATCAGAAGGGACACCTCCTGAGGATGGACAGACAGACGCAGATTCAGGGGCAGCAGGAAAAAGTCGTTAAATAGTCCTCTGGGGACTGCTTAGCACACAGAGGTGCTAAGATTTTTCTGAGATGTAACAAACAGTATCTGTTGTTTTAAATAGAAGTAATGAAAAGGGCTTTTTTCTTTTTAAGTGTTGGAGTTACAGGTAATTTTGTTTTCATTCCTGTCACTGTCCCCCACCGTGGAAATCTGGAGGCCAAGCAGAATGACCCTTGCCTGCACGGCCTTTCCTAAGGGCTTGATTGCATGGTCCTTACCTGTCATTGATGTAAGACTCAGAAAAAAGCAGAGACAAGCCTCACCTTCAGATTTTTTTTATTGGGTTATATGGTCACGTTTGCCAAATAAGCATTTTAGGTACGTGTATCTGCTGTGTTGCGCCTCACTTTGGATCTGACATTCTGACACTGCAGGAACTCTGGTGGCCTGCTGTCAGGGAGTTCCACTGTCCACTCAGGGGCAGGTGGTTCAAATCCTCCAGCTTCTCTGTAGGAGAAGATGGGCACTCTCCGCTCCGGGCAGTTTACAGCCTCGGGGAGCCCACGGGAGGGTCAGCCGTGAGTCCATTCCGATTCCGCTGCAGTGAGAGTGCTCCGTGGACGAAGACAGTCACTTCCCCTTGAGATTGACATCTTCTGCACCCCACTGATGCTGATGCGTGAGGGTTGGCCGGGGGGATCGGAGCCACTCGGGCTCAGGATTGCTTTTAATCAGTGTAGTACTGCGAGCTAACACAAGAGGTCAGCAAATCGCTTTCAAATCTGAAATGATGGAGAAAGAGCAGAAGGGCAGGAGATTAATTTGCTTATTAGACTCTAAGCCAAAAGGTCAGAATTTTGAATCCACCATCTGTCCCATGAGAGCAGGACAGGGCAGTCTGTGGTAAAGGTTTTTAGCCCTGAAACCCAGTAGAGTAGAATCATGAGCTGGAATAGACTTGATGTCAACGGCGGCGTTGTTGGTGTCGTGTACCACGGAGACAGGCCCGATGCGTCCTGACCCCCCAGCAGGTCTTAGAGACTGAAGATCGCACAGGAGGCCCAGCTCTTTATCCCCAGGCCCCCAGAGACGAGAATGAGGGGTCAGGATGGCCTCACATGTATTACAGCGTTTCTTCACCTGCCTTTCATTAAAATCAGTATTTAAATAAACCCAAAGTTAAAACCATCACCTCATTTGCCTTCTTCAAAACTAATCTTAGGGGGTTTTGGTTATTTTCAATGAAGACCACTCACTTGAAAAGGTAATTTTGTGGAGCTCTGGTGGCTTAGTGGTAAGAAGCTGCATTGTAATCCCAGAGGTACGCGGTTCAAATCCACCAGATGCTCTGCTGGAGAAGGAGAAGCACTCTCTTCCTGGACCAGTCAGATCCAGTTTGATGGTGAACACACACACACACACACATAAAATTTTTTTAAAAGAAAAGGTAATTTTGTCAAGTGTTCCGTTGCTCTCTCTCCACGTTGAACACCCCTTTCTTTCTGTTTTAGGTTACGTTTCGGACGAGAATCTATCACTGTAACATTAACAGTCAAGGCGTTATTTGCTTGGACATATTGAAAGATAACTGGAGCCCCGCGTTGACCATTTCTAAAGTCCTCCTCTCTATCTGCTCGCTTCTTACAGACTGCAATCCCGGTACGGCCTGGCATCCTTTCACAAGCTCTTCTTCCTCACCTCAAAATGCGTGTTTAGCATAAAAGCAGCTGCTGTGACTGGGGCTCAGCCTGGCTTCCTCCTGAGTAGAGTACGGAGGCGAGTCGTGTGACCCACCGGGGGCCCTGATGGTTGCCCCTGAGTCAGTCATGGGCTTAGTGGGCAGTCTCTTTAGAACCTAACACGTCACAGAAGAAACAAAACCGAAACATCAGTTGTGGTGTCTGGTGGGAGAAAAGTGGCGTGAACCCCATTGCCTCAGCAGTTACCCTCATAGAATTTCCCCATCCGTGGTGTTACCATTTAAAGCCCAAGGGGAGCTCTGGTGGCCTGGTGGCAAGGAGCTGCAACTACAATCCCAGAGGCACATGGTTCGAATCCACCAGATGCTCTGCTGGGGAAGGAGGGACAATCTCCTCCTGTACCAGTCAGATCTGATTTGATGGTACACGCACACAAAAATAATAAAATAAAATTTAAAAAACAAACAAACAAAAAAAAAAAACATTTAAAGCCCAGACTAGCAGGTGGTCCCCATAGATGAGGTTTCCGGGAAGCACGTGTGTGTGTGTGTGTGTGTCCATGAGAACCAGGAGGACTGTAGAGCCCATGTTCATGGATCGCAGCTCAGAGCTACCTGTGTGTGGAGCACCCCTGCTCTGTCAGCACAGGTCAGAAAGCTCTGTACGGCGAGGTTTTTGTTGTGTCTTTGTCTGGGGTCATAGATGGGTTTGCCCATACACGCTGGTCACACCTTGTCCCCAGTGTCACAAGGGTATTGGGCGTGTCCTTTTTCTCAGGATCATAACCCAGTCTCTTTCCTTCCAGCCGACCCTTTGGTGGGAAGCATTGCTACCCAGTATATGACCAACAGAGCTGAGCATGACCGAATGGCCAGACAATGGACCAAGAGATACGCCACCTAAGCCGGTCCCGACAGTCCTGACGTTGTCTGCCACCGAAGAGAGCTGCTTATGATTCTGAAGGGGTGGGGGAGGGCGGGAGTTGGTGAGAGTAGGGTATTTCTATAACAGATATTATTCAGTCTTATTTCCTAAGATTTTGTTGTAACTTAAGGTATCTTGCTACAGTAGACAGAATTGGTAATAGCAACTTTTACAACTGTCATTAGTTCTGCAACATTAGCTGAAATGTAGTTCAGGAAAGAATGTACATTTAGACATTTGGGTTCAGTTGCTCGTAGTTTGTAACTTTAAAACAGCTTAATTTTGTACAGGTTCTACACACGGCCATTTACATCAAGTCCTTCGAGACAACACATTCTTTTGTTTCTTAAAAAAAGAAGTAACTTAATAAATTGGATCATTCTCTCCTTGGGAGAGAATATCGCTATTTAACAGAGGTTTCGAGACTGTCATCTCATATATTTAAGATGGACACATGGCTCTAGGAAATGAGTAGTTACTGTATTTTTATTTTCTACGTCAGTCTCCTTTACTGTGAAGAGACTAGGTCAAGGTTTGAGTTGGGGCTTGTGAAGACCTGTAGTGAAATACCTTAAGCTGTTAACTGTCAGGGTGGAGTCGGAGTTGCTCAGTGGATTGGTTACGTTGCGGACGACTTAACGTCTGCATTTGTTACTGTGCTAATAAACAATATTAAAACCACCCGGATCCGTGGCATTCTTTTACATGCCTCTGTGGCTTGCTTGCAGTCTGCAGATGCTTCCGTCTGATGAGAGGTTTGATTTCTTTACTATTAAAACCCTAGAAACAATTGCAGAGCTACTAGATATCACCTACCATGCATTCAGGCCACGATTGCTACTTGAATTTCTCTAACCACCCCTGCAGGGTTGACCTTGGAGTGTTTTAGCCAAGCATCGTTTGAGAGCGTGGGTGACATAGGGTTAAAGCACTCTGCACTCTGCAGAGAACCCCAGGGTCAGTGGTTTAGACTCACCAGCTGCTCCCCAGGTGAAGGGTGTGGCAGCGGCCCCTGAGAGTCCAGCCCTGTCCTGGTCACTGTGAGCTGGAATCAAGCCATGGGGGCAAGCACGCCGGGAAATGGGCCTCTGTGCAGTTAAGAGGGTCCAGCTGGTACGGACACTTCAGAAGGTGACCTGGCGCTCAGTGACCGTCCCGAGGGTTTGGGCCTGTCAGCGGTGCTAAGGACAGCATCAGACGTGGCAGGGTTCACATCTCTTGTTCCTGGGGTCACTGCGAGTTGTTGTCAGCTCAGTGGCTCCAAACCACAGGAGAACATAGAGCAGTCATGTTTCTCTCCCCAGAAAAACAGCGACACAGGGTGACAGTGCACACATGGGTTTATTAACAGCTTCTAGAAGGAGCAGTCGCTCCAGGCATGAATGCAAGCCTACACTGCATTCAGTAGGAAAAAAGCAAAACGGGCCAGGATAGCATTTATTTAACAATAGTTTGAAATGTAAAGGAATAGTCTACAAATGTACAGTGTATGGGAGGAGGTCAGAAGGGTCGGCACTCGATGGCTGGAGATGAAGGCTGGAGGTGATGGCCACAGATCCACATGGTTCTTCTTTAATTTGTTTATAGTGCATGGGAACAGCAAGAGGTGATTTCTAACTCACACACCTTTTACACCTAAGCTCAACTCATAGAGCTGAACTAAGCCACTGAACACGTAAAAGTTTCCAGTTCGGGATTACACTTAACTAGACGTTTCACCATGTTTCTTTGCTAAATAGCTTGTTTAATAATTTTGTTTAGATCACGTGAGTGCTTTTACAGTTGAACCCGTCAGTAACTTGCTTCCTAATCGAGTTAAAATGCTGCCAGCTTTCCAGATAGAGTGCTACTACTCACATTGTGGCAAGCGGTACATAGTACAGGCTCAGAAATCCTCAGTGCTCAGAAAATCACAAATCTTCAAGGCGTCGGGAGCCCGCTGCTGATACAGCATTTCATTCCAAATGGCCGAGGACCCAGAGACTATTCCAGAAAGCCAACTATTTCTTCTGAAAAACAGAAGCTCTCTTGTCCTTAAGTTCTCGGCCTTTTTCATAACAAATGTGGTGCAAGTGTTTCCCTCTAGTTCAGCCAGAGGTCTGGCGGGCGATGGTCTTTAATGATGAATTTACTCAGACCACTTACCTCAGGTCATTTTAAACATGCTGTCTGAGCTTGGGTTTTGTTCTATTTTGCACAATCCCCCTAAGAGAAAGTTTAGTTTACTTAGAATTTTTTTTTTTTACTGTTGGATGGGGCAGCAGAAATAAAAACCTTCAACTGATTTCTGATTTAGAGCAGCTGCAATACAGACATAAAAGAAGTTAAGCTTTACAAGACTAAGCAGTTGATGCTTAATTATTGACTTTTTTTAGTTAATTTTTTATTTTCAATTAATTTTTTAAACTGGTTTATTTACAAACTTCTTATTCGATTAATGAACTCTTAAAAGTTATGCCTGAGCTAAAAAAGAATTAGAATGACTGCTGTGTGGAGGAAGTAGAGGACAGTTGTGCATAGGTACACTTGCATACAAGTAAAACACTTCAGGGTTTGGACAAGTCTGACCTAAACATAATGAAGAAAGTGCTGATTGCAGGAACAGGCTTGAAACGGGGACTGAGGAGACGGGTCCTATCATAGCCCGTAATAAGCTGGGACTGGATCATCCTTGCGTGCTCTGACTAAAGTGCTCTAAGTGACGTCTGTAGGGGGTAGGCATCCTCTCCTCCATGCTCAGACGCCTGGGGGATGACTGACCGGCTCAGCTCTCAGAGCTCGAGTTGCCCTTATTCTTCCTGCCGGGCAGCGGGAAGCTGGATTTGCTCTGCGGCTGGGAGAGCTTACTGGCCAGCAGGGTGAAGGGCTCGATGAGCGTCCTACGGTCCGTGACCGTGACCTCCCACAGCCGCACCTTCTCGCTCTTCGCCCACTGCTGGGCCACTTCTGCGTCCACTTGTCTCTGCTCAGAGAGGTCAAGTTTGTTTCCTAGCACGACAATGGCCACCTAGAAGTAAGACAGACAGAGATCATTCTCAGACTTCGCCGGAGGTTATGAGGAAGGAAGAAAAACCCTCTCCAGTATACATTATTTATCCCCTTTCTCAGTCTCCCACCAACCCTGATGTCCATCCCGTTCTATAACAGTGGCCCTTCTATGCAATATTTCACTCAGCATGATGTCCTCCAAGGTCACCCATTCTGTATAATACTGCATGAGTCCCCTGTTTTACAATGGTGCATAGTATTCCATTGTGTGGACATACCACAGCTTCTCTATCCATTTGTTTGTTGATGGACACTTAGGTGGTTTCCAACAAAGCCACAATAAACATGATCAGGTATTATTGTCATGACGAGTCCAGAATGAAGGCTACACACTGGAGTGGACTTGAGGGGAGGGGATTGTCATAACAATGAGTTTTCAAGGAGAGGAGTGAATTGAGGGAGGGGGTGGGCAGGGAGAAAAGTGCAACAATGAATGAATGAAAATCCAAAGTCTGTAAATTTTCATTAAAATTGAAAGAAAATGGGGAAGGGGGGATCTAAACAACTGATGTCCAGCGGGACCCGAGTAGACATCACTCACATACGTGTTTGCAGAAAATGTGGATGTTCAGAGTAACAGCAGTGAGATCTTAACTCAGGTAGGAATGGAAGACAGGAAATTAACACAGGAGTAATGATTTGGCCCAGAGGTTTCTGGATTTCCGTTTGTACCTGATGTTTAGAAGCCTGGCAAGACGATGTTAAACCAGATGACAGCTGGAGCCAGCAGGGAGAGTCCTAGCAGGTGCAGTTCTGTGCCCGGGAGCCTGAACCCCACTGGAGGGGGCGCACTCAGTCCCAGGAAGGGGCCTCCTTCCAGGTGGCACACTCACGCGTCTTGGACGCCGGAGCAGGTGACATCCTGCATCCTGAATGCAGATTCACTCCCTCATGATAAATGCGCCCCACGCCCAGGCACCTGGTGAGCAGCTGATAAACCAGCGGCCGCTTCCACGTGGTTGACAGGATACTCCGATTTGGAGAGTGATCGCAAAGGAGATAGATGGGATTTAACCGTGCAGGGAGGGCAGAAGAGATTGCCAGGGACAGGGTCCTGTGTCCACCTGGAGCTGACTCCCCCCCACGCACGTGAGGCCTGCCTTTCTGGCTGGACTGAGGAGTAGGGCCCAGGCTGCCTGGCTTCCTGGCACCTGTGGAACTGGCCAGCCCTCAGCAGCGGCTGTCCCAAGTCGGATGTTCACATTATCTCTCTCCCATCACCTGTTTCCAGTGCTCCCATCACCATCCTGGCAGCTGGCTCAGCCCTGCAACCCTCACGGTCTGGCAGCCCTCGTCTCTTCCCCTCCTGCCATCACCGGGCCCGCCCTGTGGTCAGGGTGACAGGGTGTCCTTGCCCCTCAGTGCCGCTTCCAACAACGCACTTTCCTAAAAGCACCTGCTGGCGCCCGTGTCCTCGTCTCCCACCACCTCCCTGCTGGCTCTCGGTCACTGCCCCGCTTGTCTCAAATCCCAGTTGGCTCACCTGCCGTGAAGGTGGCCCTTCCCTGTCCCTGGTGTCCACAGGCTGCAGGCATCGTACCGTCCACCTCAGCTGAGCATTCACCTGTGGTCACGCCCTCCTCTCTGCTCTCAGTGTCAGGCCTTCCTCTCCGTGACCTAACACTTAACGTTTCTAAACACCACAGTCTCTGCCACCTTTATCACTGTCCTCCTCCTCCTCCTCCTCCTTATCCGGATACCCACTTCATTCACTCCCTGGTCACTCCTGTCCCCTGAGATTGCCCTATCAAGCCTCCTTCCCTCTGCTAGGAGTTTAGCAAGGAGCTGCACTGCCAACCCACAGGTACATGGTACGAATCCACCAGCTCGTGGTAAAGTGGGCAGGCTCCTCCCGTGCGATTACTGCCTCAGAACTGCCTGGAGGGTCAGCTGTGAGACCGTGTCAATTGGAGGGTGCACAGCACGACCACCCCCATGCTTACAGTGGACGCTTGAACCTAACCGGAGGAGACCACACCGCACTGCTGGGACACACCGCAGGCTGGTGTTCTCCGGAAACAGTCCTACAATTTTACAGTACTGTATATACAAAACAAGTACAGTCACGCAATTACCATCAAACGCGTACCTTGGTCCTCTCTTTAAACTTCAGCATCTCTCCCTCCACTTTACTTCACAGCTGATGACTAAACTATTTCAGTAATAAGGGGGCAATTGGGACAGTATGTCCACCTTATCCAAGAGTTTGCCAGCCTGCAGACAGACACTCACGTCCTCTTAACCTGGACAAGAACATCACTCCAGAAAGAGTCTCCTTGTTACATCAGTTTCCTCCCCTCATTACCAATTTAAATCATTATGAATTAGCACAATATTCTGTCTCATCTTAAAAAAAAACACGAAAACAGTTTCTATGAAGATGGCACCGAAAGCCAAGAAGGAAGCCCCTGCCCCTCCCAAAACTGAAGCCAAAGCAAAGGCGTTAAAGGTCAAGAAGGCGTCCTGAAGGGCATCCACAGCCAAAAAAAGAAGATCTGCACGTCACCCACCTTCTGGCTGCCTAAGATGCTGAGACTCCGAAGGCAGCCCAGATACCCCCAGAAGAGCCCCCCTAGGAGAAACAAGCTTGACCACTATGCCATCAAGTCTCCCCTGACCACTGAGTCAGCCATGAAGAAGATAGAAGACAACAACACACTTGTGTTCATTGTGGATGTCAAGGTCAACATACACCAGATCAAATAAGCTGTAAAGAAGCTCTATGACATTGATGTGGCCAAGGTCAACACCTTGATCAGGCCTAATGGAGAGAAGAAGGCTTATTCAACTTGCTTTGGATGTTGCCAACAAAATTAGCATCATCTAAACTGAGTCCAGCGGGCTAATTCTAAATATAAATTTTTCTCACCATAATAAAACAAAACAAAACACTTTTTACCCCACATTCTCTTGCAGCTCCAACACCAATTCCCCTCTGCTCCCCTTTATGGCAAAACTTGTCAAGAGCTGTCTCCTCATTTCTCACACCCACTCCAGACTTCATCATACTACTTGAAGCTGCTCTTTTCAAGACCTCAAAAGTGAAACCTGTTTGACTTTGTCCACTTTCTCCTCTCTTTTTAAAGTGCCTTTTAAGGACACCCCTTCTAGGTTTTTCTCCTACCTTCACAGTCACTTCCCCTCAGGCTTCTTGGCCGCTTTCCCCTCTGCTGTGCCATTTCTAACTGTTGACATGCCCAGGGCAGGAGTGTTTCTGTGCAGTTTATAACTGTTTACGTGTCCAGGGCAGGAGTGTTTCCACTGGACTCTTCTCTCCTTGTCCCCCAACTGTCTACTGGTAGCCAGGCAGCTGAAGGAATCCATTTACAACAAGTCCAGAGATAATCTCTGTCCTGTGTGAAGGAAGGAAACCGGGACACCGTCTCACACAGCCGACACGGACAACATCTATGCAGCAACTCGCATGAATTTTCAGGGAAACAGGCAGAATGAGAAACACTGATCCCGAAAGATGACACCTGTGAGTTGCCATTTCTAGAACATTCCTGAAATGACTCAATTACAGGAGTGGGGAGTGCTTGACACGGGCTAACGGACCGCGGGGAAGGAAGCAGGCCAGCTGTGAAGAGGGAACCCGGTATGGATGGGAATGCTTAGTATCCTGTCTTGAGTCAAGGTCAACAACTCCCTGGTTGTGATAAAGAGTTCCGTAAAATGCTGCTGGAGAAAACGGGGTACTTGGGGTATTATGTCTTCTAGTAAGTGCATCTGCAATTATCTCAAGAGTTCAACATTAAATACAAAAGTGCATGCAGCCAGTGCTCTGAGCTAGTATGTCAGATGTCTGTCTAAATGAGGAGAAAGTCATGTGAAGACGTGAAAGGTGACCAGTGTGTGCTCAGCAGAAGAAACTGACCTGTGAGGGACCAACGCGGAAACCACGTGAGGTTACCCCGATGGTGTGAAAGGGAACTAGTAAGATAAAAGGCAAGATTTAATGCACACCCGTGTTTATCACGGCTTTGTTTACAATAGCAAAGAGCTGGAAACTACCCAAGTGCCTATCAACAAACAAATGGGTAGAGCAGCTGTGGTATATCCACACAATGGAATACTACGCTGCACTGAAAAACAAGGAACTCATGCAATATTATACAAAATGGGCAACCCTGGAGGACATTATGCTGAGTGAAGTATCTTAGTCACAATAGGACAAATACTGCATGGTGTCACTGTTATAAAGCGGGCTGATATCGGGGTTGAGGGAAGACAAAAGGAGGGGATGAATGATATGTACTGCATTGAAACAGATGAGGGAAAGAACTGTTTAAAAGGGATATATGATTAGGTATTATTGTCATGACAGGAGTCCAGAATGAAGGCTGCACAGTGGAGTGGAGCTGGGGGACGCTATTGCATAACAATGAAAGAGTTTTACTTTTCAAGGAGAGGATTGAATTGAAGGGAGGGGGTAGGCAGGGAGAAAAGAGCAACAATGAATAAATGGAAATCCAAAGTCTCTGTAAACTTTCATTAAAATTAATTTAAAAAAACCAAAAAAGGCAAGATCAGACTACAGTCACATGGACCTTATTCATAATGGATACTTGGCTAAAATCCAAGCATTATTTCACTTTGTTCTTTACACTGCAGACATGGGTCCTGTTGAGTCAATCAGACAACAAAGAGCCAAAGGAAACAATAACTCCTTTAAATAACCCTCTGGTGGCCTAGTGGTAAAGAGTTGCATTGCCAACAGTGGGAGATGGAGTTCAAATCCACTGACTGCTCTGTGAGAAAAAAGATGGGCAGTCGCCTATTGTCCAATTTATAGCCTCGGAAAAGGCTGAAGGGTCAGCTATGAATTGCTTCTGACTCAACAGCACATAACAATAAACAAAACTACTTAGTAGGCAAGGGAATCATTACAATTTCAGCCTATACACAGAGATGAGCAAGAGGCAAAAAAGTTACCGATCTGACTCAATCTTCTCAGGAAGAGCACAGAAACGGAATTCAATTTCATTATTTAAGTAGTGGTAGTTAGAGAGCTCTGGTGGCCTAGTGGCAAGAAGCTGCACTGTAATCCCAGAGGTACGCGGTTCGAATCCACCAGATGCTCTGCTGGAGAAGGAGGGGCAATCTCCTCCTGTACCAGTCAGATCTGATTTGACGGTAACACACACACACACACACACACAAAAAGATAATAATAATAAAAGTGGTGGCTGGAATGGATCATAGCTGATCCTTCAGCAAGACTTCAGAGGCAGTTAACTTGAACAGGAGGAGACTGCCCCATACTCCCCCCGGGGAACATCTGATGGATTTGAACCACATGCCTTTGGGACTGCAGTGCAACTCTATCTTCTAAGTAAATACCTAAAAGTCCACGCTATAGTTCAAATCACATTCAATGTATAATTCACATTTGGCGTTTTTAAATATCTCCACTTACTTCCTTTTTGTCTTTGAATTTATCAATTTCTTTCTTCAGAAGCTCCACTCTTTGAAAGGATTCGAGGTTATTCACACTGTACACAAGCACAAAGCCGTCCGCGAATGAGAAGTAATGCTTGGGGAGCTCGACACCTTCCTGGAGGCCTCTGGTGTCATAGAGATGGAGCTGTTCCTTCACCCCCCGGTCGGTTTCCACGGACGCCATGTACACATCCTCCATTGTCTCACAGTCTTCCATTCCTGGAAGGTCAAAAACAAAGACAACCTTGGAGACAATTCTTGCCCGACTCACTTTTCTGAGCTTTGGCGGATGCTTTTCTCGGGCTCTGGTTTGTCATATTCAATGGTGCTTCCGTGATACTGTTTTTTCTTTAAAATGAAAGATAGTGTTAGCCTAAGAGCTTGTCAAGGAATGAAGGAGTAAAGAAACTGATACTTCCAGGGCGCTCTAGTGGCCTAGTGGCAAGAAGCTGCACCGCAATCCCAGAGGTAAGCAGTTTGAATCCACCAGATGCTCTGCTGGAGAAGGAGGGACAATCTCCTCCTGTACCAGTCAGACCTGATTTGACAGTACACACAAAGTAATGAAATAAAATAATTTAAAAAGAAAAGAAATTGATATTTCTATACAATGGCATACTGCTCAACCATGAAGGGGGGAAAGATCGTCCCAGATCATCTTGCGACATGGGTGCAACTAGAAAACACGCTGAGAAAAAGAAAGGAGGAGGGAAACCTCACTCCTATGACATGGTCAGAGCAGGTGAGCGTACGGAGACCAGGGTTCACTGGGGGGCCGGGATCTGGTGAGGGCAACCATGCTCTAGGGAGGGGTCAGGTTTGGTTTCTAGTGATAACATTTTCATGTCATGTTATGTTATGTTATGTTATGTTATTTTTTTTTGTGTGTGTACCGTCAAATCGGATCTGACTGGTACAGGAGGAGATTGTCCCTCCTTCTCCAGCAGAGCATCTGGTGGATTTGAACCACATACCTCTGCTCCTTGGAGGCAAGGATTCTGAGGCTTCGTCTAACATACTTTGGACATGTTATGAGGAAAGACCGGTCCTTGGAGAAGGACATCATGCTTGGTAGGGTGGAGGGACAGCGCAGGAGGGGAAGGCCCTCTATAAGGTGGATTGATTCAGTGACTGGGGTAATCGGGATGGGAGTGTCAGAGGCAGTGCGATTGGCACAGGACAGAGCAGGGTTTAGGGCTGTTGTACATAGGGTCGCTATGAGTCGCAAGCGACTCTATGGCACATAACAACCACCACCTCTGGGACTGCAGTGAAGCTTCCCGCCACTAGGCCACCAGAGCTCCCTTAGTAGTAACATTTTAACGTGGGTGAAGTTGGAACAGCTTTATGGTGGATACCACTGAGCTACTCACCAAAATGAAGCCTGAGGTGGCACTCCACAACCACAACCACAATAATAACTAAATGGAGATGGACCACGGATGCTGGTGCTGTTTTCCTCCAGACTCAGAGCCCTGGTCTCCTGGGACACTCCAGCGAGTTGGCATGACAGTTCTCATGTCTGGTCGGTGGATCGCGTCTGGGGTCTTAGAAGCTTACGTGGCCCGTCTGAGAGGCAACTAACTACTGGTCTCTATTTGTCCGAAGCAACAGAAAAAGAAAACTCAGGGAGCTGAAAAGGAAATGGTCTACAGACTTGAACCACGGACTCCTCATCTTCAGATCAGAGGAGCCAGGTGCTTCCCCGGTACCACACAGGTATTTCTGGTTATGGACGCAGTACACCAGGCCGGACAGAATGAGGGAAAGGTACACACCAGAACTTCAGTCTTAAGAGTCCAGCCTTACACACCTATGTTCACAGCAGCGTAATTCACAATAGCAAGGAAGTGGAGGCGGCCTAGATAGATGCCTGACAGCAAATTGAGAAACTGTGGTGCATTCACATAGTGGAATAGTATGCAGCACTCAGGAACAATGACTGATATCTAAAATGCTATGTA